GGGGAAGGGAGCAGGACAGGATTCCTGCAGGCCTGGTGGAAGGAACAGATGCCCAACAGTGGAAGAGAGAAAGAGCATGGCCGGGGGGGAACTGCATGCAGGTGGCTGCAGCTGGAGCATGAAGTGAAATGCCCAAGAAGCTGGAGAGGCAGTTGGTGGGCCAGGAGTGGGCAGAGCAAGTCATGTGTATGTGTCGCTCCCTACTTGTTGTTTTAATACCAGCACCTCTCCTTTCCATTTCTGTGTCTCATTCTACAAGTCTTCCTTTCTCTGTTTCCACTGCTCTAAATGTCACATACTTCACAGCTATCTGACTCTGGACAACTTACTTATACATACCCCAAGTCTCAGTTTCCTTATCAACAAAATGAGAATGATATCGGTACTCACTTCATCGAGTTGGGGACTGACTGAGAGGAGGTATGTACTAACCCAGTGCCTGGCTCAAAGTGGGTGCTCAGTCAATGTTAGCTGCCTTCTCCATCACCCCTAAATCAATATTTATTCTCTCTGTCTTTTAGCTGTGTATAAGAGAGGACTGAGGTTTCAAAGAGATTAGTCGTCACATTTACCAAGCAGACTTTCTCTGTTTGCCATTCAAATAGAAATAAGATCATTTTTCATTTCTAAGTTTTTAAAAAATAGTTTAATAACTCCCCCTTTTTTAGTTTAGCAGTCTACTCCTGTCTGATGGAATAAACTTTATAGTTTGTAATGCCTTCAAAGTGTAAAGAGATACAAATGTCTGCATTCTACAATATAGTAGTGTAGTAGAGCGTTCTTTTCCTAAAGGATTCTGTTTAATATAGGAAAAGCAATGTGGATGGATCACTTATACATACTTAGAAGTTAATCTTTCGGGGAGATTAAAATGCTGTTTTTATATTTGGATTCAAAATCCCCATGCGTTCTATTTTCTGAGTTTCTCAGTAGGAGAGCCAACCCACCGAAAATCTCAGGGAATCGAGCAAGGGGTGGGGGTGAGTAGGATGGTGTCTCCTTGACTTTTCTTTGTGATTTTTGCATTTTAGACATAAATGAATTTAGATATTCTCCTAGTCCGAGGAAGAGAAAGCTGAAGGGGAGGGGACACTGGCTTCCATGAAACAGAAAAGGTCTTCATTAGTAGTCTGCAGGGTTCTCCTCAGAGCTCACTGCTAGGAAGGCCAGATGTGAGAAGGGGACTGGAACTCTGAATGTACAACAACCCCTCTGGCTAGGGACTGTTTTACTCTGCAGGTGGGGTAGAGCTTAAACAAGTCTGTTTGAATGCCTGCTCTGCTAATTAGCAGCTTTTTGGACTTTGGGCAAGTTACTAACTCTCGGTTTCCATACTTGTAAAATGTAATAAAAACCTACACTGCATGGAACTGCTCATAAGGATTATAGTAAATGGGATCATGTATCTAAGCACTTAGTATAGCACCTGGTGTGCAGTACATGGGCAACAACTGTACCTGTTGTTGTTGTTGTTGTTACTGCTGGACCCAATGATTTTTTTCTATAACCTCGATATAGAAATATTAGCTCATCTTACCAACAGGGAATGACAAAGAGTTTCTCTTGCCCTTTTCCCTTAAAATAAAGAGAATTCTGGACGTTTCTATGTAACCCTGCACATCCCAGCAAATTCACTTTCATCTCTTTCCTCCTTACGCAGGGCAAAGAAACCCTACATACTGGAGATGGAAAGAAGTGAAAGAGCAGCTCTACAATGGGCGTCACACCTACCTTAGGGGAGTCAGGTGTAAGAGGTATTGTTCAACTGGCCACAGGCCAGGCATCCTACCATGTGAGAAAGCAACACATTCTGTCACTGACCTTGGAGAGGGGGACCGGTTCCAGCAGTTGCCGACTTACAGAGGGTTCAGTGCTAGAGGAAGAAGTCCTCTCCAGTATGTGGATACTCTGAAAATACATGGAAATACAGCCTAGGGTTAGAGAACCCATTTCTCATGTCGATGGACATGGGGGTGAGATCACACAGATCACAGTAAGAACAGTGAGCTATATTAAAAATCGCAAGTTCTTGAGGGGACCAAAGGTAGCAACAACTGTAAGAAAAATGCGAGGATAAGGATTTTGTTTTCTCCCCTTATGGATTTGCTGGTGAATTTCTGCTGCAACGCTGGTTTCAGTCTTAGAGAAAGAGTCAGAGAACACATATATTAAAAAAAAAAAACATGGATTATGTCTCAACATTTTTATAACTATGAGAATGGTGGCACACCTACTACTTAGACAATTAGCCTTACATAGAAATATGTGCTCATCTCTCCAATGGCAGGAGACAAAGAGAAAGATCTACATCAAAAAGTCCAGAGGGCTTCCCTGGTGGCGCAGTGGTTGAGAGTCCGGCTGCTGATGCACGGGATACGGGTTCGTGCCCCGGTCCGGGAAGATCCCACATGCCGCGGAAAGGCTAGGTCCGTGAGCCATGGACGCTGAGCCTGCGCATCCGGAGCCTGTTGCTCCACAATGGGAGAGGCCATGACAGTGAGAGGCCCGCGAACCGCAAAAAAAAAAAGTCCAGAGCCTTAATACCATTTAGTCTCTAGAGTTTCTTATAATCCTTATAAGATAATTATATATTATAATATTATAATTATTATAATTATAATACTATGACAATTCTTAAATGCACAGAGAAGAAAATAATTCATCACATATAATAAGCAGTAGATGACTTTTACAAAGACTATAAAGAGCATTCACAGATCAGTGAGATGACATTCCAACAGGAAAAGAGGCAAAGTACATGAACAGGCAACTTGTGCAGAACATTTGAAAAGATGTTCAACTTCAACCAGAGGTTTTCAAATAAGTGAAAACCAAAATAATAATGATTTTTTAAAAACCCATTACATTCAATAATAGATCAGCGTTGGGGGAAAGGGAGTATAAACCGGGTACAGTCTTTCTAAAGAGGAATTTTGCAATTGTATTAAAAAGTCTTTGGAAAAAAAAGTACCTGCCGCAATGACCCAGCAATCCCACAGCTAAGTCTTTACCCTAAGGAAATGATCAGATTGGTATGGAAAGATATAGGAACAGATGTGCTTACTAAAGCATTATTTTATTATAGTAAAAAAAAAATCTAGGGCTTCCCTGGTGGTGTAGTGGTTAAGAATCTGCCTGCCAAGGCAGGGGACATGGGTTCGAGCCCTGGTCTGGGAAGATCCCACATGCCACGGAGCAACTAAGCCCGTGCGCCACAACTACTGAGCCTGCACTCTAGAGCCTGTGAGCCACAACTAGTGAGCCTGCGTGCCACAACTACTGAAGCCCGTGCGCCTAGAGCCCATGCTCTGCAACAAGAGAAGTCACCTCAGTGAGAAGCCCGCGCACCACAACGAAGAATAGCCCCCGCTCGCCACAACTAGAAGCCCATATGCAGCAACAAAGACCCAACGCAGCCAAAAGTAAATAAATAAAAATTTTTTTTAAATCTAATACATATGAGAATAGTACAGACTTATAAGGATATAACATGCAGTGAATCAAAGTGACAACACAAATTTCTGTTTATTGGTATGGAAAAAATAGCCATGATGTTCTGTCAACTAAAAAATCAGGCTATAAGGAGTATGTAGAATATGATGATGTTAAACATATAATCAAAATATATTCCAGAATGTTAACAGTAGCTGTATAGATGTGGTGGGATTATAGATGATTTTTAATTTTTTCTTAATTTTTTTCTAATTTTTTAGTGCAAAAAATATACAATACTTTATATTTGGAAAAAATTAAGCACTTTATATGAAGGGATAAATCTGAAAGACATTAAAGGAATAATTCAATGGAGTTAATATTTAGATATAGGCTGAAAATGTAACATTTTTCCTCTAGTTATAACATTTCATTGTTTCAATAGACAAAGTTGGATTTTATTTACTTATTAAGGTCTCTTTTTAGTATCTCACTGGAAAACTATCAGATTAATGTTTGCTTTTTTCATAAAGAAAATTACACTTTGACCTGAGCCCAATTATTCTAATTTCTTTAGGTTTTCAAGCTTTTGGTTATTTCTGTTACCTTGAAAACAAGAAGTCTGATCGTAAATTTTTGAAATCCTACCTGAATGCTTTTTTAAGTCATTTATTAGAAAGAGAATAACTGAAGTGAAAGATTTAGGAATTGCTCCTATTTCTCCAACTTGTGAGGAAGCAGAAGAAATAAGAACAGATATTTTGGGGCCAAATACAAAGTTGGGCAGAGATAGCGAGAATTCCTAATCTGACAGCTGAAGTGTCCAAGGACAACTTAAGCATTAAATGGGACTCTGCTCTTCCCATTCCCAGGTTCACTTGAATTAGCAGGGAAAAATGATACAAGGGACTGAGCATCGACATACTCAGCGCCAGTGCCTCTTGTGGGAGAGTCAGAAGCAAAGGCATACTACAGAGAGAAAAACAGGGAGTGTGTGTTCAGATCTTTAACAGACAATGGGACCCCTATCATTTGAATGTTGGTGCATTTAATCTTGTCTCAGAAGTCTCTGAGACTGTCCTCAATTCTTTTCTTTTTAAAATTATTTATTTTACGTATTTATTTGGCTCTGTCGGGTCCTAGTTGAGGCACACAGGAACTTTGTTGCGGCACGTGGGATCCTTCATTGTGGCTCTGGGCTCAGCAGTTGTGGTGCACAGGCTTAGTTGCCCCGTGGCATGTGGGATCTTAGTTCCCTGACCAGGGATTGAACCCTAGTCCCCTGCATTTGAAGGCAGATTCTTAACCACTGGACCACCAGGGAAGTCCCCTGTCCTCAACTCTTTTCATTCTTTTTTCTTTATTCTGCTCCATGGCAGTTATTTCCACCATTCTATCTTCCAGCTCACTTATCCATTCTTCTGCCTCAGTTATTCTGCTACTGATTCCTTCTAGTGTATTTTTAATTTCTGTTATTGTGTTGTTCATCACTGTTTATTTGTTCTTTAGTTCTTCTAGGTCCTTGTTAAATGTTTCTTGTATTTTCTCCATTCTATTTCCAAGATTTTGGATCATCTTTACTATTATTACTCTGAATGATGATGATGTGGTACATATATACAATGGAATATTACTCAGCCATAAAAAGGAACAAAACTGGGTCATTTGTAGAAACGTGGATGGACCTCGAGACTGTCATACAGAATGAAGTAAGTCAGAAAGAGAAAAACAAATATCATATATTAACACATCTATGTGGAATCTAAAAAAATTGGTATAGACGATCTTATTTACAAAGCAGAAACAGAGACACAGACATAGAGAACAAATGTATGGATACCAAGGGGGAAAGGAGGGGGTGGGATGAATTGGGAGATTGGGATTGACATATATACACTATTGATACTATGTATAAAATAGATAACTAATAAGAACCTACTGTATAGCACAGGGAACTCTGCTCAGTGCTCTGTGGTGACCTTAATGGGAAGGAAATCCAAAAAAGACAGGATATATGTATACGTATGGCTGATTCACTTTGCTGTACAGTAGAACTTAACACAACATTGTAAAGCAATTATACTCCAATTTAAAAAAAAAAAAAAGACAATGGGAACAAATGACCTGGAACTTGCATTATTTACTTGTTCGTGTTAATATTCTGTATGGGATCCTATTTAAAACATAGCAGCTGAATATGAAATTTAGATTTATTCTGAGATCATATAATTAGGAACTAAAATGAGAATTGTTGTTGAAGCAAAAATTGTATTACTTTCTAGGATGTAATCATCTCCCCTCACACCCCTTCATTTTCTTTTTTGTGTTTAAAAATGACAAAAGTAATATATGCTCATTATAAAATATTCAAGTACAGCATAGAAATATATAAAATAAGTCAAAGTTCCCACCCCACTGTTACTCCCCCTATCCCTCTAGCTTCTGCAGCAGTGCTTCTCAAAAGGTTGTCCATGAACCCTGGAGGTCCCCAGGGCCCTTTCAGGGCATGTGCAAGGTGAAAATTGTTTTTATAACAATACCAAGATGTTATTTGCCTTTTTTACTCTCATTCTCTCAGTAATGTATAGTGGAGTTTTTCAGACGGTACATAACATAAGGATCCTTCTCTGTCTTCACACTTGCAGATGGCTAGGCAATAAAATACACATAACATTGCCTCCGGCTTCCCCCTCCCCACAACAAATAAACATGGTAAGAAATGCAAAACATGGAAAGAAACTTGACCTTAGCAACTATGCAGGCAAGAAATAAAGGATTAACTCAGGAACTTAGCCAGGTGAAAGAAAGTAAATCACCTAATTTACAAATCAGGCCACAGAAAAAGAAATCAATTTAGGATATTTAAAGTGTGATAAAAAATGAGTTTTGTCTCTATATAGAGACCTGGGGATACTTAAAATGTTGCTGGGATTTTGTGGGTCAGAAGGGTTAGTAACCAAACAAACCAGGACAGCATCTGTAAAATACCTACTGCAGTACCTGTCACAAGAAACACAATATTAGTCTTTTCTCCACCTGATTTTACAAAAGTTCATATTAGGGAAGAAAAGTAAGAGGTTCATTCATTTCAAACATTTATAATATAGTACACATGTAAACTGAATGAACAATCCAAACCCCAAATTTTGTTGATTTTCCAAGGAACAGAGAATTATAAAAATGTTTACTAAGATACAGTAAGTACATGAATATTTTTATTACCACAAACATATGTATATATTTTACTGAAAAAGTAAAGCATGATTTATAAAACTACCAACTGATACCTATTATTATAAAAGTAACTAGCTTCAAAAAATAAGCGATTTCATTTAATTTTCATAATAAGAAGCCAAAAGCTCTTACACAAACTTGTGCAGTATATTGTATATTTGTATATTATTCAAACGTATCATCTATCAAATAATAAAAAATTAATCCACTACCTTAAGAATTGGCTTCAAACTCATGGTTTT